CTCGCACCAAGCAGGCAGCATCCCGCTGCATTGTCGGGAGCGGAAAAGAGGGGGGTGATGACTAGGGGGGGGGTGGATTTCATGGCGCGGGCCATGATTTTTCCTCAGATTTCATGGCGCCTCTTCTTATTTTATTACGTCCCAGGCCCCCCCGCTGGGCCGCGCCGCCGGTCATGATTTGCACCCCCCCCTCTTGGACACCCCCCTCTTGGCCGCTCCCGACATTGAGAGGAGGCGGAGGCGGAGGATTTTTCAGAGGAGCATGAAATATTGATATTGGTACTTTTCCAGATTTCCAGGTTTTCTCGTTCTTCCGCGCGGGCTCCGGGGACGAATGGTCGAGCGCATTCTGTCGTGCAGGTTCTTTGCGTGATGTTCGCGGTGCATTTTTCGCGCATCGGAGCGCCTTTGAAGATTCCAAGCTGCATGCTGTGTTGCTCTTGGGGAGTCCGCGAGTCGCAGCTGCCGTGGCGCTGTTTTCGAGGTAGCCCCTTCGAGCGCTGTTCGCGGGCGCAACGCGCGGCGCGCGCTGCGCCCAATCGCGCGCGGCGCGGCGCGTGAATCAGCCGGCCGCGCCCGTCGGACCGCCCGGGCATTATGTCTGGATTGTAGAATGTGTCAGAAAACGCTTCCGTTTTTCCCCGCAAGTGTTTCCTGATTTTTTCAAACAGGGGCCGGATTTTTCATTTTTTTCAAAAAAAATGAAGGGGGGAATGCGAGCGCCGCGCAGGACATCTGAATATTCATGAAATCCGGAATTTGTCAAAATGGATTACGGAATTTTTCAAAATTGATCCCGGAAATTCTCAAAAACGATTCTGGTATGTTTCAAAAAGTAGGCCGGACATGTTCAAACATGTTCCCGGATTCGTTCATTTTTACCCCTGGAGAATTTTCCAGAGTCGCGCATGCTTTTCCTTGCCAGGTCTTTGGGCCTCCTCCGAGACGCGCGGTGCGCGGCGGCGGGCGATGGGACGGTGCGCCACCGTCCCCCCCCGCGCTCGGCAACGAAAAGGGGGGTCAGCAACTGCCAAATAGCCTCTTACGGGCGACCGCTCGATTGCGGATGGGTGACCGACCAGCGGCGCCAGCCAGAGTAGACAATACTCGACGCAAGGTGCACCCCGCGCGAAGGCTGTTAGAAATTCCGGAATCTCCAGAACGTATCAATAGCACGCTGTGTCAATATATTCTTCTCGTCCTAATTTCTCCGAAGGGCCAAGGCGACCCGCCCTCCTCCTCCCTCCTCCTACCTCCCTCCCTCCCTCCCTCCCTCCCTCCCTCCCTCCCTCCCTCCCTCCTCCTCCTCCTCCTCCTCCTCCTCCTCTCTCCTCCTCCTCCTCCTCCTCCTCATCCTCCTTCCTCCTTCTCCTCCTCCTCCATCTCCTCCTCTTTCTTCCCTCCTCCACCTCCTCCTCCTCCTCCTCATCCTCCTCCTCCTCCCTCCTCCTCCTCCCCCTCCTCCTCCTCCTCCCCCTCCTCCTTCCAGAAGTCTGAGGCGGAGCTGTTCGAGTCTTGACTTTTCACGGGTTCCTCGGCTGAGCCCCATCTGAGACTTTGTGTGCGGGCCCTCTTCATGGACGGGGATATCAGGGAACAGTTCCTGGCGTTAGATCCTGGGCTCCGAATTACGGGCTGAAGCTAAGACGGTAGCGATTCCACCACCTGTTGGGCTTCACGGTCCTCCTCCTGATCCTCCAGAGGTTCCCGAAGGTGCTCTTGAGATGCCCCCACCACAGGCTGTGACTTCGGATTGTGGCGTTCTGAACGACGACGGGGCGGTCTGCGGGAGAGTCTTCGCCACAAGGAGAGCGCTGCTTGCGCATCAGAGACTTGCTAAAGGAGGGGGGTCACTCTTGCCGCTCACAATTGCACACCCTCGTTGACACTAACAAGTGCATCTTCTGTCGTCAGGGTTTTCGCACCCGTCGGATTGCACAAGAGCGCGCAGCGCAGGCCGTACTTCCAGGTCGGTGCCCCCCGCATGCCACGCCCGTCAACCACCCCGTCGAGGATGCAGAGAGCTTGTTCTGTCCCTTCGCCGATCTAGCCCGAGGTACACGCTTTGGCGGTCAAACCGTGTGTGCACACGAGTTCGGCTGCAATCGGTCGGAGCCGTTCGAGGATCGAGAGCAGCTGAATCGCCATCTTTGTCGGCACCCTCCGCGGTTTCCAGTTTCTCTCCACGAGCCCGATGTACCGCCTGGGGGCAGAGGCGCTCGAGGCTGCGGCTCATCGTTCCCGTTCGCACGGAGGTCAGCCAGGCTCGCGCAGGGGCCGTTCGAGCTCGGCAGCGCAAGGTTCCCGCTCTCGTGGAGGCGCCGGGCGCCAGCAGCCTCGCAGCCAGCCTGCGGGGGGTGGCCCGGGGG